GAGTGGGCCTGCCCTCTGCCACCTGGGAGCATCCCTAAGCCAGCAGGGCGTATCTCCCGAGGGGTCCCAGACTGCGAGAGGGCACAGGCCAGGCTGAGGGACCCCCCTTCCCCCCGAGTGCACAAATTTTTGTGCACCGGGCCTCTAGTCTATATTAATAAAAGCCTATGTGGTCCTCACGCCCTCACACCCTCATGCCTTAACAATCCATCACCAGGGGGCTGCGTGCATAGAGGGCATATGTGGTTGGGCAGGGACTTGATGCTGCCTGTGCAGCGGGGAGGCAACACCAGGGGTCCCGAGACTCCTTGTAGCATGGAGGCGGGTCCCAGCGGCTCCATGTGGTGACCCTGGAGGCGGCAGGTCCACGCAGGGACTCCAGGGGCGGGACACCCAGCTCCAGCCTATCTCTTTGGGACAATCTATCAAGGAGCCCTCCTGGGTGGGCGGGGCCTACCTCTTTGGAGAGATCGACTGGGGGACTCCCACACTGTGAGAGGGCACAGGCCAGGTTGGGAATCCCCCCCACACACACACACACATACACACACACACAAGTGCATGATTGTCATGCACCGGGCCTCTAGTATTTTAAATAAGCAAAATATGCTTCTGACAGAGTAGGATCAGAGCAATTACCTAACTTACGATAGGTTGATGCTCAGCTGCTTCCTGACGTGTGAAGAGTTGGCCAGAGGGCTTGCATTTCCCTTTATTTTTATCACTTGTTTATAGTGTTCAATTGCTTTCTTCCTTTGGAGTCTAGAAAAGATAAATTTAATTAAAGTTTTGCATCAAAGGAGCATTGCAGTCATTCATTCACTAAACAAACATTCGAGGAATGCTGGCGCTAGGGCTGGAGTGCAAACCTAAGACTAATTAATTCTTGCCTCAGGCAATTTCCCAAGGTAGGAGGAGAGACTGGAGAGTGAAACAGAGGACTGGCCACTCAGGAAGAGCACTGAGTACACACCTAAGGTTTAGGGACTTTAATATTGAAGAGTTTTCATTAAGAGAATGACGTGATCTGATTTACCTTTTAGAAAACTCATTTGGGTGGATGTATGGAAGATAAACTGCAGCAAGCGAGTCTACAGGCAGGGAGACCAGTTAGTCTAGACCAGGGTGGGCAACCTCTGGCACGCGTGCCAAACATGAAACGCCAGTAACTTTTGCTGGCACGTGAAACCCTCTCTTATAATCTTCCATTTACAATTTTTTTCTTAATATCGACTTTTTTATTTTTCAGATAAATTCAGTGTAGGTGCATCTTAGATAAATAAATAATTTTACATAACAAGTTATCTAAA